GTGGGGTCTTATTGACCCCATATCTCTCCTTAAAGAGGACCTGTCTCTAATTTTTTCTATCAAAAGGGATGCATGCATTTCTTGTGATAAGAATAAAAGTGATTAAAACATTTTTTTAAAGAGACAATGCAGAAAAAAAAAAAAAAATTAATAAATTAAAAAAGTTTAAAGTGCTCCTGTCCCCCCGTGCTCACACGTAGTGGTGAACGCATACGTAGGCCATGCCCACATATGTAAATGCTGTTCAAACCACACACGTGAGGTATCGCCACGAATGTCAGAGCAAGAGCAATAATTCTGGCACCAGACCTCCTCTGTAACTTTACACTCCTAACCTGTAGAAATGTTTAAAGCATCACCCTTGGAGATTTTTAAGTACCGCAGTTTCACGCCAGCCCACGAGCGTGCGCAATTTTAAAGCATGACATGTTCGGTATCTATTTACTCACCGTAACATCCTCTTTCATATTTTACACATAAATTGGGTTATATATTGTTTTTTTGGTTTTTTTTTTTTAAATCAAAGTGTATTTTTTTCCAAAAACTATATATTCATTTTTAAAAACTCTGCGTTTCGGTTTTCGGCCAAGTGCATTTTGAATTTTCTGTTTCGGCACCCGAATTTTCATTTTGGTGCACCACTACTTTACAGGTTACTAGTTTACTAGGATTACACAGGAGGTTTGGTGCTAGAATTAGCACTCTTGCTTTAACGTTTGTGGCGATACCTCACATGTGTGGTGCGAACACTGTTTATATATGCGTACGTGACCTACATATGCATTTGCCTTTGCACGGGGGGATAGGGGTGCTTTAAAAAAATTTGTATTTATTTAATTTATTTATTTTTATTTTTACACTGTCTCATGTTTTTTTTCTTAATCAACTTTATTGATATTACAAGTGATGAACAACATCCTTTGTGGTAGCATGGGCAGTGACAAGTACTCTTTACAGAGATATTTGGGTTCTATTAGACTGCAGATCTCTTCTCTGCCCTTAAAAAAATCTGATCAAACTGAGATTGGTTTGATCAGATGCTTTCATAAGCTATAAGCAGCTTGTTTACATCCTGGCGAAACGGGAGGTGACAAACTAGTCATCGCTTCCAAATTCTTAAACCACAGCGATGACCAGGGATTTTCTTAGCCCTAGGATTGCTTTTACAATCCTCATCCCCGTATCACCACTCAGTCATATGACGTCCTTCGGGCTGGAAGTGGTTAAAAACAGAAGCGTTTTGGATTGCTGCTTACATCTTTATTTTTGAAGGGGAGTGGAGTCGGGCTGTGGTAGCCAGCACCCAGGTTTTCTGTGTGGGACAAAGAGAGCAAGTCTGGAGTGGAGCCATGGGATTGACGAACTTTAAGTATCTTTGTTTTGGCCTCATGCACACTGGAACCTTTTTCTGCTTGCAGCAGAAAAACGCTAAACGTGTCAAAAAACGTGTGTAAATATGGTACCGCATTTAGCCGCATTTATTTATTACAGGTACTTATATAGCGCCGTCAATTTACGCAGTGCTTTACATATATATTGTACATTCACATCAGTCCATAACCCTCAAGCATTCAGTGCTTAGAAGTTTATTCATTTAATTGGCCAGAGTACTGAAATTAATAAATGCCTAATCGCTAAATGTGGTTGGCTTCTTTAGACACATTTACACGCGTTTTTGCCACGTTTTGCGTTTTATGTCCAAAACGTTCCTCTCCTAAAAAAAAATGATTCTTCTGCGCTCAGAAGAGATACATTTCACTGACCCTAAAGCTGCTGCTGTTAAAGGTGTGATAAATGTTTAAGTGTTCATGGACACATAGACTTTTATTGAGTTGAGTTTGGGGGCTTTGGCAAAAAAAGCGAAAAGCTCTTGAACTCACGTTCATGAGCAGCAGTGTGCATGAGACCTTTTACTTTATGCACATACAGTAATAAATATGCTTGTCATGTTATCTTATTTAATATGCTCTGCAGCAAGGGTTAAAGTACCCTGTGCTGGCAGTACTTGGAAAGTAGGACTGTTGCTGATTCAAAAGCAGAAGCCTGGCTATGCTGACATCCAAAATACCCACCCTGTACACTGCTTTGATTGAAACTGGCCGTACATGGATCAAATTTCCTCTCACACTCCAAAGAAAGAGCGAATGTGTGAGTATGAATGTGAGTTTAGGGACCTTAGATTGTAAGCTCCATGAGGGCAGGGACTGATGCGAATGTACAAAATGTATAGTGCTGCATAAATTGATGGTGCAATATAAAACCCATAAAACCATTTAATAAATCATTTGGATCAGTGTACAGTGAAGGGGGTAGCAGTGGTTCTTTTATGTGTTGCCAGCACAAGGTGTTTCAACGTATTTGATAAATGCGCTTACGTTTTTTCTTTTTTATGTACTGTGTATGAAGTCTGACTGCATGCTAGTATTAACTATTTAACAAGGTTCCGTTGGCTTTACATACACTTTAATACACGAAAAAGGCTTTTCAGATCAATGTGACTTAGCTAAGAGGACAAGCGGCAAAGGTTGCCTTTCTTGGCTTGATTTGTCTGACTCAAACTTCAATTTCAGCCATTTGATAAGATATTAGTTGATGTAAGTGGTGTACCTCAATCAGTTCTGTCACAAGGTTTATTTATTGTTACGTTATATGTAGTGTGCTGTTCTGGAGGCCGCTTACTACCACCATGATGTCCTGTTGGACCCTCAGAGGAGATTACTGAAACATTTGAAAAGATGGGAGCACCACACAATTTTTATCAAATATTTTATTCTGCAACATAATCCTGCATGTTTTGGCGACTCAACATTGCCCCCTCATCAAGGCAAAAATCAGGACAGTAAAAATAGAGACCATAATCTAAAAAGTCTTTGAATATGTTCAACAAATAATATATATGAATCTGTATATTTATGCAGGTATAATTACTCCAATGTCCTCTTATTGAAGCTAAGAAAACTCAATAAAGGCGTAAAAATACAATTCATATTCAATAAATAAATAATATATCCACCTGCGCTGCTAGATCTATTGAGAATAGTGCAAACAGCTGCTAACATCCAATCGTCACCTATCAGATGGATATATACATACAATTGATTAGATATTGATGTAGCGCTGAAATATTCTCAAAAGTCAATCTCAAAAAAATGGTCAGTAAATATCATATACATCCAAAACAGGTATGGTGGCTTTTAACTGTGAGCGGTGCACTATGTGTTGAGCTTAAATTCCTGCAATTCAACTATATCGTGACACACAGTGATTCACTCTATGGAATATAGGTCACCTCTTATCAGTGGTTATAGTAACAGTGATAATAAAATGTACACAATATTCAGTGTGAATTATACTATGTTGAACACACTAGAAACGATGAGAACACATGCTTCTGTGCCAGTGCAGGTTGTAAGTGATAATCCTTATGTGGCTAGCATGCCCGCTCACCTTCCCCCTGCGACCCACAGGGGCCAAAATGCCTTACGGGTCATCCCTGGACCCTGCACGCTCTCTCCGAGTGAAAGGCTCCTCCACACTCTTCAGTACTCTCTCCTCCACCATATACTATTCCTCCATGGACAGGTACCGCTGTTTTTAGGCTTTAATACTCATGGGGTAGTGATGGCCATAAAATAAGAGCACAGAGATCCTCCATTGTGCAAACTGTATACTTAATTTATTATAAAATAAAAACGCCAAGTAACAACTCATGTTGATCATCCTGACGAAGCTATGAGGGGCGTGGCGTAACGTGTAGATGTGACGTAGTGTCGTGGTGACGCACTTCCGGTCCAGCGCCATCTTGCTACATCAGAGTGCCTCAGTACACCCATGTGAGGTGTTACATGCTTTATCTGTCTCTGCTCAAAACGTGAGTTGTTACTTGGCGTTTTTATTTTATAATAAATGAAGTATACAGTTTGCACAATGGAGGATCTCTGTGCTCTTATTTTATGGCCATCACTACCCCATGAGTATTAAAGCCTAAAAACAGCGGTACCTGTCCATGGAGGAGTAGTATATGGTGGAGGAGAGGGTACTGAAGAGTGTGGAGGAACCTTTCACTCGTAGAGAGCGTGCAGGGTCCATGGGTGACCCGCAAGGCATTTTGGCCCCTGTGGGTCGCAGGGAGAAGGTGAGCGGGCATGCTAGCCACATAAGGGTTATCACCTACCACCTGCACTGGCACAGAAGCATGTGTTCTCATCATTTCTAGTCTGTTCAACAAAGTATAATTCACACTGAATATTGTGTATATTTTATTATCACTGTTACTATAACCACTGATAAGAGGTGATCTATACTCCATAGAGTGATTCACTGTGTGTCACAATATAGTTGAATTGCAGGAATTTAAGTTTAACATATAGTGCACCGCTCACGGTTAAAAGCCACCATACCTGTTTTGGATGTATATATGATATTTACTGAGCATTTTTTTGGGATTGACTTTTGAGAAAATTTCAGCGCTACATCAATATCTAATCGAATTCATATTCAATCCAGTCAATACAAAGACCGGTATTGTTACAAAAATCTCTGATATATGATTTGGAATATGTACAGCCAAAGGGGGTAATTAAAATGGATTATGAATAGATTCTCAGTGCCAGGTGTAATTTCTAAAAAGTATAGTATAAGGGATAGAATCAATATATTAAAATAAACAGGGCATTTAAGGATGACCCAACAGTAATATATTAAAGACCAATGGATACTTTAAACATTACATAGTTAGTCTGGCTGAAAAAATATTAAAAAAATCCAATTTTTATGATCAAAGACATCAATTAAAAACATTACATATCAATATAAAAATCAGAAGGTATAATGGCAAAAATCCATTAGAAAATGTCTGTCAACGCATTTTGTGTTCTTTACTTCATAACATTTTGAACTTTTAATGTGGATTACATCCTATACAGTACTACAACAAGTGAGCAAAATGCAATAGGGGGTCTAACAAGTCATTTTTGTGTTTTTGGTATTTTAGATTTGCAATGGCTAATGAAGCAAGTCCTTGTCCTTGTGATTTAGGAGATCAATTTGATTATAAAGGCCTTGGAGAGGAAGTACAAATTGAGCACATAAAAGCATATGTCAGAAAACCAAAGACAGCCACTGATAAGGCCATAATTGTGGTACAAGATGTCTACGGGTGGGAACTAACTAATACCAGATATTTTGTTGATCTGCTTGCTGAGCATGGATACACGTAAGATAAATGTATTCTTTTTTTATTCTTATAGTTTTGATAATGTTTGTATGTCTTTATATATACAGCATATATAGAGACACAGTGAGTACATCTGCTTTTTGTTGTTTTACTGTATATGCATAGTGTAAAGATCTGAATGCAAAGCATAACTTAAAATGCAAACATACAAGACAGTCTGTTGTTTGGATATATTAAACTATTTTCACTATGATTTTTTTCACAGAATGATTTATAGTATGATGAAATCAATATAAACAGCAGGGATGTTAATCTCCCTAAAGGGAACAGAAGTATGCTGCATAATAAAGCCCAGAAAATGCAGTTAAGAGTCTAAGTGGAATAGAAGCAGAAAGTTAGCTAGATACAGAAGAGACAAAAATTGAATTACTAATGTAATAAGGTGGCACAATACTTAATTATGTAAATGTTACAAAAAAATACAAATTAATAATACTTTCCAATAAAATAACAGCAATAGAGAAATATATAAACAAACAGTTCCCAATAAAGAATAAGTTCACCTTCCATAACATGTTACACCCATATTCAGGGTATAACATGTTACAGATACAGCAGACCATGCACCCCCTCCGATCCCTTCTGTGAATGTGCAAACTACAAGTACCGACAGCCTTTGTTGCTGACAGCGTGTAGTTCTCAATGCACTACTGGGGCACTGTTGAGCGCTCTAGGTAGTTCATTAATGCTTCCTGTCTGTGAGTAACTGCCTGCCTGTATGAATGTATGAGCAGATCGCTTACACTGACAGTCTGCAAGAATCGTGCATTTCACCGCAATCTGCTTATCGTGGGTGCAATGCTTTACACACTCCTACGGCAGTAAAAAAAAAAAAATAAATAAATGCACGTTTTTACCAGAAAGATGTGCATTCATTTATTTTTTTTCCAAAGGTAAACTTATCCTTTAACCACCTCCTACCCACCATATTGACAAATAACAGATGGGCGAGAGCTCTCTTGTTCTGGGGGGACATCATATGACGTCTTCCCACTCTAGGCATGTGACGCTACGGTTAGTGGTGTGCTGTGTCCCTAGGACACAGCGGATCATCAATCATGGTAAAGAGCCAATGACTTAGGCTCTTTACTATCTGATCAGCTGTGTCCATTCACAGCTGATCACATGTAAACGGGAAATGCTGGTTATCGGCAGCCCTCTCCTCACAGAGACAGCGCGTGAGGAGAGGAGACATCTACACTGATAATCAGGGCATTGATCATCAGTGCCCTGATTATCAGCGTAGCCCCATCGGTGCCCATAAGTGTTGCCTTTCAGTGTACATCAATGCTGCATCTCAGTGCCCATCAGTGTTGCCTATCCGTGATGCCTGTCAGTGCCCATCAGTGCAGCCTCATCAGCGTACATCAGTGAAGGAGAAAAAATTACTTATTTAAAAATTTTATAGCCAAAACTAAAGAAAAACTTTTTTTTTTTCCAAAATTTTCGGTCTTTTTATTTGTTTAGCAAAAAATAAAAAAACAGTGATAATCACACCAAACCACGAAAAAAAAAAAAAATGTCTATTTCTGTAAAAAAAAAAGATAAAAATTTCATTTGGATTGTGTTGCACGACCTCACAATAGTCATTCAAAGTGACATGAAAATTGCCTACCAGGCACTTTCACCCCCTTCCTGGCCAGGCCAAGTGGTTAAATATCCATCTCTTTTCAAATCTGATGACTTCTAAAGTGAAGACAAACATCTACGTATTATAGATGCCACCTTACATAAAAAACATGCACATGGCACTACTTTTAGAAGTTATTTGACTACCTCTATAGGCATGTTAGTTGTTACCAACATCTTCCCCCCTCTCTAACAAGAAACTAATAGGTTCTTTCATTTCTATACACATAAGACAAACCAGAAGCACTTCATAGTGTAATCCATATTTTATTAAAATTATAAAAAATATAATCTCACTAAAAACACATATATTTAATCCGTGAATAGATAGCATTATTTTTTTTTGCATGTAATCCTTAGCAGCCACCACCAGGTCTCCCCTTGGTATTTTGTTTGTTAGTGTTATTTGCATTTTATAATTTTAATAAAATATAATTACACTGTGAAGTGCCTCTATTTTGTTTGAGCTTACTACAGTGGAGAAAATAATTACTTGATTCCCTGCAGATTTTGTAAGTTTGCCCACTTACACAGAAATGAAGGGTCTGTGATTTTTATCATAAGTGTATTTTAAATGATAGAGACGGAATATCAACCAAAAATCCAGAAAAACACTATACAAATGTTATAAATTGAGTTGCAATTCAGTGAATAAAATAAGTATTTGATCCCCAAGCAAAACATGACTTAGTACTTGGTGGAGAAACCCTTGTTGGCAATCACAGAGGTAAGATGTTTCTTGTAGTTGGTTACCAGGTTTGCACACATCTCAGGAGGGATTTTGGTCCACTCTTCGTTACAGATCTTCTCTAACTCCTTAAGGTATCTTAGCTGTTGCTTGGCAACTCCATGTTTCAGCTCCCTCCATAAATTTTCTATAGGATTAAGGTCTGGAGACCGGCTAGGCCACTGCATGATCTTAATAAAATTATATATAGTGCAGCGCTCAAGACTAAATCAAATACTACAATAACTGTGCTCACATGCAATAGTGTCACAAGATTAATCAAAAACAAATCATTAGGTGAGATATCTTCATTATAAGTGCCACCCAGTATTATTCCCTATCACTTAGTGCCCACATAATCAAACAAATATATATAAAAATAAACTACCATTTGAGAAAATAATTTTTACAGTGCTCCAAGTGTAATAACGTGACCACACTTTATATACTAATCAAAAAAGTCCCAAAAAAAAAATAGAAATGTCCATGAAAACTGATATTAATAAATTCATGCAATGTGCAAAAAATGTGCAAAACAAATGTGTTCTTATTCCGCAACCGTGTCACTCTTCACCTCCTAAGGCTAGATTGCCTCCTCACCTCCTTAAACCGACCCCTAAGGGCTAAACAGCTTTCAGGATCACTCTGGATCCTTATCCCCTGGCCACAAGCACTTCTCCTGACGTTGTGGATCACTTTAGGGTACATCCATTACCCCCAATCGGAAGCCTCTAGATAACAATTGCTCACCAACCCAGTGAACAGAAAAGAAGAATCCTCTAAGTGCAGTATTAAGGCCAAAACACTTTAATGGTAATGCTCAAATAAACATAGCCACTCACATATGTCCATAGTCTTCCTTAGCCAGTATGTGGGTGTGCTGCATGTAATCAGAAGGACTTCCTGGGTACACCAAGATGGCGGCTGGCGCCGGAAAAGCGTCACCGCGTACCGGAAGTTTGCATGCGTGCTAACGTGCACTCGTGACTTCCTACGCGTCACGAGTACGTAGGCACGTTAGCACGCGTTACGTCACTATCACTCGTGACTTCCTCTGGGAATGCCCAGAGGAAGTCACGAGTGATAGTGACGTAACGCGTAGGCACGTTAGCACGCAAACTTCCGGTACGCGGTGACGCATTTCCGGCGCCAGCCGCCATCTTGGTGTACCCAGGAAGTCCTTCTGATTACATGCAGCACACCCACATACTGGCTAAGGAAGACTATGGACATATGTGAGTGGCTATGTTTATTTGAGCATTACCATTAAAGTGTTTTGGCCTTAATACTGCACTTAGAGGATTCTTCTTTTCTGTTCACTGGGTTGGTGAGCAATTGTTATCTAGAGGCTTCCGATTGGGGGTAATGGATGTACCCTAAAGTGATCCACAACATCAGGAGAAGTGCTTGTGGCCAGGGGATAAGGATCCAGAGTGATCCTGAAAGCTGTTTGGCCCTTAGGGGTCGGTTTAAGGAGATGAGGAGGCAATCTAGCCTTAGGAGGTGAAGAGTGACACGGTTGCGGAATAAGAACACATTTGTTTTGCACATTGCATGAATTTATTAATATCAGTTTTCATGGACATTTCTATTTTTTTTTTTTTTTTGGGACTTTTTTGATTAGTATATAAAGTGTGGTCACGTTATTACACTTGGAGCACTGTGAAAATTAGTTTCTCAAATGGTAGTTTATTTATTTTTATATATATTTGTTTGATTATGTGGGCACTAAGTGATAAGGAATAATACTGAGTGGCACTTTATAATGAAGATATCTCACCTAATGATTTGTTTTTGATTAATCTTGTGACACTATTGCATGTGAGCACAGTTATTGTAGTATTTGATTTAGTCTTGAGCGCTGCACTATATATAATTTTATTAATATTTACACTGTTTGGGTAGCAGGTTAAGTGCTGGCAGCTTCCAGTAGGTGTTTTTCCCTTTTGCGCAGGAGGATCTCTGTCTGTATTTCACTGCATGATCTTAATGTGCTTCTTCTTGAGCCACTCCTTTTGTAGCCTTGGTGGTATGTTTTGGGTAATTGTCATGCAAGACCCATCCACAACCCATCTTCAGTGTTCTGACTGAGGGAAGAAGGTTCTCATCCAAGATTTTACAATACATGGCCCCTGTCCATTGGCCCCTCAATGCGGCAAATTCAGCCTGTACCTTTTTGGCAGAGAAACCGCCCCAAAGCATAATGTTTCCACCTCCATGCTTGACTGTAGGGATGGTGTTCTTAGGGTCATAGTTTGTATTTTTCTTCCTTTTAAACACAGTTAGTTGAGTTAATGTCAACGAGCTCCATATTGGTCTCATCTGATCACAGCACTTTCTCCCAATCCTTCTCTGAATCATTTGTATGTTCATTGGCAAACTTCAGATGGGTTTGTACATGCGTCTTCTTGAGGAGAGGGACCTTGCGGGCGCTGCAGGATTTCAATCCATGGTAGCGTATTGTGTTACCAATAATTTGTTTGGTGACTGTTGTCCCAACTGCCTTTTAGATCATTCACGAGCTCCTCCTGTGTAGTTCTGGGCTGATCCCTTACTTTTCTCATGATCATCCTTACTCCATGAAGCGAAATCTTGCATGGAGCTCCAGACCAAGGGTGATTGA